CTGTGAGCTTGCAAAAGCAATTGTAACGGGGTCCTGACCTTCGACTGGGAGCTGCTGTATCACAGGTTTTTTTGTTCCTTGGGCAAGATGAGTAGATCTAGAATTATATAAGGAGAGATAACCAGGACAGGTATCATCTGACCTGCGTTTTATCTGTTTGTGTCTGTAACTGTGTGGTGAAGTCAACACACTGGAGAGAAGGGATGCCACCCCTCAAAGTGTGAGAAACACAAATTAATTCCCCCCTTCCAGTATGACCTTGTGTCATAGCAAGGACACCACCTAACCTGTAAATCTACACAGTTATGTATGCTCTTGAAGTTCCTTTCTTGCTTGTGAATGCTTTCCAGATATCTTCAGTGGGCAGGCATGTCAGCGCTTCATCCTCAGGGATCTGGCACTGCGGTAGCTCTTCACCTTGTTTGGAGGGGAAGAGAAAGAGATGGGCTTGATTTTTCTCTAATGAAGATCTCAGCCCGTGTTTTTCACATCTGAGTGAGTACTCAAATATGCACGGCTGAAACCATTTGGCAAAATCACAAATTCTGCAGTAAGTACACTATGGTTAATCTTCAACAATTTATAGAATAAAGGTCAAAGTTTAAGGGTACGATATCAGTCATTTCTTCTGAAAACCTTTTCAAAACTGTAAGTACCTAATTCTTTTGCCATGAGAATATTTTCATTTGTCTTAGTCTAACATAACAATCAGCAATTGCATTTGAGTAACAGTTGAACTGTGCCTAGTAAAACAAGATTTCAGAATGCTTTTTGCAACTGGAAGAGTAAATTACTTGTAAATTCTGACACTCCAGTTGCCCTCTGCTTGGTTACATCATGTGATTTTTAATCCTGCTTGTAAACAAAATAAGGACTTATCAATTTACCCATATGACTAAGCTGAGCCAAATGGAAGATGAATTTTATGTTGAAAATAGACATTCCTAGACATTTAAATCCAAATTATGTGCTTTTGTTCCTTCCCCCCGCCCCCAACCCACTGGTTAGCTGAGGTGATATGTGGTTTAAAACTATAAAAGATATTTATGGATTTGTGTAGCATATATGGGTCCAGACTCATGTCTCTCATTGCTAGCCTGTCTGCTGTGTTCAGCCACACTGTGTACACCTGCTTTGATACGTCCACATAGAACGTATCAGCTTTGGTTTTCAGCCAACCTTGCTCAGACCAAGTTAAATCAGTTGTACTTCATGCATCAGCTTCATAGCTGTAGCCTGTACTAAAACTATCCACTCTGAGCTCTTCACTTGTTTGTGCACTGTGGAAAGTGGTTGTCTTCAAGTCTTCTGGTTAGTTATCTGTCTTTCTGGTTGTCTGTGGAAATTTAGTCTAGTAGTGAAGATGGCTGGAAGAGGCAGTTATGATGTTGTCACTAACAAATTTCTTAGCTCACCATTAAATATGTTTCAAACTCAGTGCAGAAGTGGAAGGAATAAGATCCTGTAAGGAGGGATTTTACTGACTTCTTCCCTGAAATTTCAGTGGAAGGAGGAGTGGAGGCTTATGAGTAGGAGTCAAGTGTGTTTACATGATAGCTGATAGATCAATCAGAACCTGAGGGCAAACTTTTGCAGAAATATCTAGTGTCCCCTGGCCTGTGCAAATGCCTCAGGTGGTTTGGTATGGATCTTAGTCAAAACATGAATATCCCAGTAGTATAAGCTGCCTCTCCTCCTGCTGTTGGCTAAAGAGATACTGATGGATGTTCACTAATGAAGATAATTTCCTTGCAGCTGTGCTGATCCTAGAAGGCCAGCCATGTTCCAGGCTGGCCTGGGCAGCTTAGGCTGGGGCTTGAGAAGGTAGTTGCACAAATATTTGAGGTGACATAACACATAATTGGTGCTCAGACAGGCAGGTTCACTCTCCAACCATGCCTACTCTGCTTTCACCCCCTTGCTGCATTAAACTTCTGCCTGTTTAATGAGTTCAAAAGGTTTGCAGAAGAGCACTGAGAGCCCCAAAGTGGAAGTACCATAAAGCAACAGGATTCCACAGTGAGGAGCAGGGAGATGGGTGAAAGGAGTGGGAATACTAATGCTCCATGTTTAGGCCCAGAAGTGGTACCCTGCATTCTATGCTGGATTTGAAGTGTAGTGTAAATGCACCTTAACTGAGTTACACACCTACACTTCTCTGATAATCTGGGCTGTTAGTCTGTGTTAGCTTCAGTTCCAATTGTCTATGTGTGACCTCGAAAATATTTTAAAGTGGGGGAAAGTAACCTCAGGAATATATCTGGAAATAAGAATTCTGTCTATTTCATTATTCAATTAATAATCTTAATAATCTTCCCAGTAAAAAAAAAAATGCATTAAAATGCATTTTTTCTACTATAATTTCTGCTTTGAGGGAAGGTAATAATAAGTAAAGGGAAACATTGCCACTGGGGCAGTGTGATGTTTCTGATGTCCAAAAAGAAGTTTGAGCAGAGGTTGCTGGCCAGTTTCTTTTAGCACCAGAAGAGAACACCTGAAATTAGCCAAATGGTGTTTTCTGTGCATGTTACTGACACACAGGGACTAGTATAGTAAGGGAGAGAATCCTATTGCCAACTCCTAGGAGCAGAAGAAGATAGATACAGCAGAGTGCAATATTTATTCTGTTGCTCACCATTTGGCTTTGCAGGTAGGCTACAGTCTGAATAGAGCAGTATTGAGATAAGGCATAAATAATTCCCTAGGATCTAAACTTTTAAGCCAAATTGCAAAGACAATGCAAAGCTGTATTAACACGGTTTAGTACTGGTGATTGAACACAGGTCATTTGGGCATCTTTAAGCAAAGCAGAAATGCAAATTATTTATATATTTATATGAGAGTTAATTGCCTGAGTTGCTGACCATCTACACTTAATTGTAAACTTAAGTATTGCCAGGAATAATATAATAATGCATTACATTTATTGAGACTGAAAATGAGGAAGTAGCTGTAGAAAGAGTTAATGCCCATAAATTTTCTAGGAATCAAGTTAGTTAAGAAACACATTTGAGAGAATTAACATTGCTGTAGAAATTAGTGTTTGAACAGATTGACTGAAGGGGTGTTGGGCTGAAGAATGTGAAAGGCAATTCAGTCCTACTGGTGGGCTTCCCAAGGACAACTTGCTTCCAGCCATGGCTCCATGAAATGAAAAACATTGTGAAGAGCAGGTGCTACAGATCACACTTGGAAAGTGTATCTGAAACGAAAGAGAGGAAATGAACCTATATCCATCCTGACTATAAGGTAGAGCCCAGATTTGCCCTGGTTTTCTTCATCTTATCCCATCAGACAGAGGGAACTGTATTGAATAACTTGATTTAATGAAGCCTTTGTGGCAATCTTTAGAGTGACTTCTTTAAACTGGTGTTCTCCCTGTTTAACTCATCATTCCAACCCTCATATGTGTAGGGGCTTTTACAGGTAAGTATATTCCAAGTCCTCAGAATATATTGTTCCTTCTTTGAACAAATTTTGGGGAAATAGGTAAGATGTATAAGAAAGCAGGTGGCTTAGCACTACTAGAAGTTCTAATTATTGAGTCGAGATGGAAATGACTAAAAGTAGGCAGGCAAATAAAGAGGGATGTTTTTTCATATCTTGGAAGGGGAGGCAGAACAGAGTCTTGCTTATTTCCTTTTAGAACTTACGTTGATCTGGTGGTTTTGTTTTCATTTTTCTCCTTCTAATTTTAATGCCAAGATATTACAACAGAATCATATAATGGTTTGGGGTTGGAAGGCACCTTAAAGATCATCTAGTTCCAAACCCCTGCATGGGCAGAGACACCTCCCACTAGACCAGGTTGCTCAGAGCCCCATCCAACCTGGCCTTGAACACTTCCACAGAGGAGGGAGCCCCAACTTCTCTGGGCAACCTATTCCAATGTCTCACCATCCTCACGGTCTAGAGTGTCTTCCTAATGTCTAGCCTAAATCTAGCCTATTTCTGCTTAAAACAGTCACCACCTGTCCTATCACTACATGCCCTTGTAAGAAGTCCCCCCCAGCTTTCCTGTAAACCTCTTTAGTTACTGAAAGGCTGCTATAAAGTCTCCCTGGAGTCTTCTAATCTCCACTGTCCATGTTACTGACAAAGATGTTAAACAGTGCCAGTCCCAGTACTGACCCTTGAGGAACTCCACTTATCACTGGTCTCCATTTGGAGATTGAGCTGTTGACCACAATTATTTGAGTGTGACCCTCCGGCCAATTCCTTATCCACTGAGTGGTCCATCCATGAAATACATATCTTTCCAATTTAAAGACCAGCATGTCATGTAGGACAGTGTCGAACACTTCGCACAGGTCCAGGTAGATGATACCAGTTGCTCTTCCCTTGTCCACTGATGGTGTGACCCCATCTTAAAAGGTCACTAATTAGTATTAGTCTTCAGTACATTTTCTATTAAAACAAACAAATTTACATTGATGCCAGGGGAAGAGGGGAGAGCTCAATAGAGCATGCAGAGCAGAACTAATTGTCCTTTTTGTGGCTAGGAAGGACAGGCATAATAAATAAAGATCACAGAGACAAGTATACGTTGGTCAGAACTATAGGTCTTCATAGTCCTGTCTCCCACAGTGTCAGTACCAAATGCTCGTGGAGAAGACTGAAAAGCTGTATGGCAGACAAGCTAGCTTGTCCTCAGAATGTCTCTTCTCTGTTCTTTGCTTGCTGGGTGTATGCTGCTTACAGCCTTCAGTATTTGATGAGAAATAGCTAGCTGCTGCATTGTTGACATTCACATCTCCAGTTTTCTTGATTGGAATAAAGTTTGTAGGCTTGTAGCTTTTGTTGGAATCCAGTTTTGGAATCAAGTTGTTGGAATCAAGTTAGCATTTATTTAAGCAAGACAGTTAAATATCAATTGGAAGGAATCTGATTTTTTGTGAACATGGGACAAAAATATTTCCTTTTTTCGTCTTTTTCAACACTGTAATAGGATCATTGGACAGACTCAGAAACAGACCTTGGCATCAATTCAAAAAGGCAACATGAAAGAAGCTGAGAAGCCACGTGCAGAGGACAAATTTTGCTGCATTTCCAAGCTGAAGGTAAAGGAATATTTTAGTTTTTTTTTTTTTTTTAATGACTGCACAACTGTAGTTGGTGGCACTTGCAGCAGTTTGGTAGGTGTTACAATCTAGGCTAATTGAATGATCCGTTTGGTTTCTTTCCTTACTCTTAATGCATTAACCAAGGTCAAGCAAGTTTGTAAGAAATCGTGCTTTTTATGTCCCTGAACTTTACACTCTGTGATATATTGGAGGTATGGTTGATTGCTGCTTTGAAACTCCACCTCTTGTAAACCCCCAAGTCTGGCATGTTTGCCGTTCCTTCTTAAACCTGTGAAATGAGCCCTTACCGGCTGTGACATGGCAATAAAAACCAGCTATTGATGTACCTTGGACTAGTCAAGAAGCTCTATAAAAGGTTGTGAAATACCTTGTTTTGAATAGTAATTCCAAGCTCAAATACATTAGTTATGCTTTTTATAATTTGAAGCAGATGTGTTTAAAAATACTATTGATTTTATTTCATAAATACACTTTATCAAGAACCCTCAAGTTAAAAGGATTTGAATACTACCACATTGATTAATGTTTATTTTTGACTGTCAATTACTACTAGACTGGACAAGCTATATGCTATTGCTGTTTGAAATGACTTGTTCTGGGCTCATGACTGCTACTGAGGTGGGAGAGCAGATACTCGATCAAGTGATAAAATAAAACTGTTTTAGTTCTGCAAGTAATTGACCGTTCAGATGAACAAAACGCGCAATGGTCTTTGCACCATGTTCTGGCTGCAGACGTTATACAGTCCTGCAGATGGCAATCTTGGAGCAGGGACACGGTGGGAGAGGCCTGCAGCTGTCTTGGCTGGGGAAACGGGGCTGAAGTTTCTGAAGGCAGGTTTGGGCAATAGGAACGGGTGAACAACAAAATATTTCTTCATTTTTTTTGTTCAGTGGACCATGACCTTGTGGACAAGGATAGATTATAGGATTTGAACTTGGTTTTGCCCATATGTCAGTGGATTGGGGTTGTTCACTTGTTTTATCTGGAAGCAAATCTTTGGCGGGGAAAATAACCAGGGAATATTGCTAAATATATAGCTTCAAATTATTTATGCATTCTCCTCTTTCCTTCATAGGTATTTCTGCTGGCGTTATCACTTGCATTTGTGGGTAAAACAATGGATGCTGCTTACATGAACAGCATGTACACACAGATAGAGAAACAATTTAATATTCCAGCCTCTTTAGTGGGGATCATTAATGGAAGCTTTGAAATTGGTAATCACTAATTTTAATATTTCTTATTATGTGAAAATATTGTATGTTGGCCGAGCATGTATTACTGAGTCTTACGTCCACAGCAATCTGTCAATTGCTGTATGTGACAATACTGACCAAATCTATCCTGCTGCTTCAGCTAGTACTTACATGTTTACTCTCTGGGAAACTAATGGGACAACATAAATGAGGAAGTTTAGGATTAAAAACTGGTTCAGCTAATTTCTGCTCTAATAGAATCATAGAATCATAGACTGTGTTGGGTTGGAAGAGACCTATAAAGGTCGCTAGTTCAGAGGTCTATCATAAGGTGTGACAGAACAACTAACACAACAGAACTCCTTTATGATCTTTGTATTGAATCAACTAAAAAAACAGAAATATTTCATAAACTTAGTTTGAATTTAAGGTTATATTTACTGTTTTGCAGTTCTTTTAATCAGTGACATCAAAGTTGGTTGGAGTGGATTGTGAATTTACTGAAACTCGGTGATATTTCAAGATTTCATACCTGTACAACTATAGAGAATGTTTTAATTTCTACTGTTAGTGGCCCTGGTCTTGCCTCTCAGTGAACTTTATTGCCCAGGCTTAAGTCTTGTCATTGCTACAAAAGCCAAGCAAAAGGCTTGATAGCTTCAAGCACCTCTAAATATTTATCCTCAGAGGATGTGTTATATGCCCTTAAAGTCACAGTGTGGATTGTTTTATCTCTGGCTCAGCTGAGGGAATGGTCTGCACAGGCTTATATACACTAGTGGGGAGGGGAGACAAGGCTCTTTTCTTCTTTTCCTGGGCTCCTATATCTGCATGAGCAAGAAGAAGAAGCTTGGCAGCACTGTGCTGCTGCCTGCAAAGTAATCTGATGGGGCAGCTCAAAGTTACAGTACAGAAGGAATACCCAGAATATATTCATGCTTTTGATAAGGAGGAGACTTTAAGAAATATGAAATAGCCAAGACTGATGAAATAGTATGTAAAAGGCCTATTTTGGTACATAAATTATCCTATCATATGCACTTTTCTATGACAAATTGTGGCATTCTTATCTACAAGGATGTAAAATAACGGTGAATGATCATATCCATATTTGAAATGATTAAGGGTCAGTGTATGTGGCAGACATAGGGAACTTATTACGACCTTGTAAGTGTACATCTTTGTCATTCAAGCCACTGACTCAATACAGTCTGTCTAGAAATCACACATGAAAAGATGCTTTCTTCTTTCAGAGCATAATGCTCATAACTCAGACACATGGTTTGACAAAAAGATCACAAAATTAGTAGGTGTACAATTACTAAATTGTTATTTTTATAGGACCTGATTCATAGCATGAAGCTTGATTCTTAGTTGCATAGCAATAAAAAAGAGCATTGAAAATCAGCTGATTCTGAAGTGAAACTTGAGGAGAAGAGAATTAAGATTTTTAGCCCACTTGTATTTTTTAAATTGTACTAGGTACAAAAATAGGTATTTTTATTCCTCTTAAACTAATACAGAAATGAATATTGTTTTAGTGTTCCTTTTTTTTTTTCCCTGTGTTTTTAAACTGTACTAGGTACAAAAATAGGTATTTTTATTCCTCTTAAACTAATACAGAAATGAATATTGTTTTAGTGTTCCTTTTTTTTTTTTCCTCTGTGTGTCATCTTGTGTTTATTCTTTTCAGTACAAAAACACATGAGTATATACTTCTGTATTTTCCCACACTTCTGTATTGCAAAATAGAGTATCCTTTAAGAATAACTTCCTAAAACGGCTACTATTCTGCAGCCTCTGGGCCTGGTTTCTATGTAAAGGAATGGGAAATTTCTCCTTTACATAGGTACAGTCAAAAATCTCTTTCAATGTGTTCTCTTCTCCATTCTGCCTTCTAGTCTCATGTTCTTTCCACATGGTATAACTGAGAAAAAGGTCACAGGAGGGCGTTACTGCATCATTTAAGCAGTTCTCTGTTTAATTACAGTTTTTACCAGACAAGAAGTAACAGATATTGAGCTAACAAGGTATACTCAAATTTCTGTTGCACTTTAAAAGGGAAAAGGTTGCCTTGGTTTATAAATAAGGACCTGGTTGTTTTTACAGGCAACCTGCTGCTGATAGCATTTGTGAGTTACTTTGGAGCAAAACTGCACAGACCCAGAATAATTGCTTTGGGCTGCGTAATTCATTCATTTGGATGTCTTTTGATATCAATTCCACATTTCCTATTTGGAAGGTGAGTATTTGGCTTAGATCACAGCAGTTTCTGTGACCCTTGCTTGCCCTAATCCCTAATCCATAATTTCTCCTAGTATAATGATATTGCTTATTGAGCGACATTGCTGAGCATGGGTCCAATATGATAATTGTAGAGTGGATTGTTTTGTTTTGCTTCTGAAATGTCTTTGAAAGTCAGTCATCCCTTCCTGAAGAGAGTCATCCCTCTGCTGCCACCTCCCCTTGCCTTTGCCATGTCTTGACCCTTGTACTACCTCTTGTGTGGAGTCTCTGAAGAAACAGTGGCCTGTGATACTGCCACATTACACTATAGCTCCTATCTGCTTTGGTGGGCAATACAGGATGATTTGTAAACATGTCTTTGGTCTGGAGCCTGGATGACATATCATACCTGATTGCTGTGTTGGCAAGGCCTTTACAGATCATCATGATTCTTTAACCGCTTTTTTCACTATTTTTCTTGGCTTAACTAAATAACCATTTAGGCTTTTCTGTGTTTTAATCACTGAGATATCTTTTAAGATTATCTAATCTTGTTATGTCCAGTGTGCTATGGCTCTGACAGCCTTGGTGGCACCCTCTGCTTAGATTGTAAATTGGCTTAGAATATAAAATGAAAAGGGATTTCATTAGAGTGTTTCATCAACCATCCTGAAGCATCTGTTACAAGGTTATGTTAGAGGTTAGATAAGAGTCTTGATAAAACTCTGGGTTGATTCCCTCCTACACTTTGTTTGTTCCTAGCCTGATTTGTTATTGAGGCTCAGTGAAGTTTTGACACAGGTTTCCTTCATCCTATAGCTACATGCTTTTCTTACAGATAGCTTCATTACTGAAGTACAGATTTATGAGGCACTTTTGATATATTTTTTCTTAACCTATATATGCCTTCCTTTGATTCTAACAGGCATCATATTGAAAGCAGTATTTCATCATTGGAAAATGTTTCAGTTATGCCTCTATGCCTTGTTAATCAAAGCTTATTCTCTTTACCTACCGAGGAACCATCAACAGGTATGACTCTTCCTATGTCTACTAATGTTATTTTTTTTCCTCAGTTTTTATAGTGTTTAGGTAAATAGGATTTTATTCTTTTAAGCAATTATTTCAGTGTCCTGCTATTGATCAGGCATGAGAGCCAGAAGTTAGGAAATTTCCTAGCTTTCCTGTTTCTTTAGTCTGTGCCTTCAGAACCATAGCTCTTTTTCGTGCAGTTTTCACAGCATCTGAACAGCTTGGTTTACGTTCCTGTCAGTCCACTTTGGGAAAATGTAGCACCAGGTTGTTCTCACAAATGTTCCTGCTTTGACTTGAAATACTCTCATACTGTAAGAAACTGGGAAATATGGTCAATGGATAAAACAAATCAGGATGCTTTTTTGTTGTACCACAGAAGAAACAGAAGAATGAGAAATAGAAGCAGGGACAAAAAAGTAGATCCTGTTTCCTTTTAGAGAAAACAGAACATAGTTTAAACTAGGCTGAAACTTCTCTGGGTGACTGGAACATGTATGTTCACTAGAAAATGCATATGTGTCTACTATGAAGTTAAAAGGCTCAGAGGCAACTAATAAATGTTCATACACAAAATCCTCATCATGAGGATTGGATTAATCTCCTTATTCTTCAGCTAACTCAAAAGAAAGCATTTAATCTGAACCATCTCTTTAGACTCCCTTGCTAGTTGGTCAAAGAAGACTACAGAGTCCTTGCAGAGTGTGTCCCTTGCTATAAGGACATTCATGCCCTTTACAGTGGGTCTACTAACCATTGGAAACTTAGATGATTGGTGGATAGAAATAGTTAGGTGAGATGAATCCCACAGTTAATTGCTATGTTTTGTGATGGTGTTCTATCAATGTGTGCCAAGGCAGAATGGTGCTGCTGTAATATTGTATATACACAGTGACATGAAAACATAGTCTTGTGGTGTAGTTTTCCATGTCTCTATTCAGTAACAGATGTGGCTTCCAAGCTTTCCAAGACTATAAATATATGTCGCTTAAGGCATGAATTTTCCCATGTTGACAATGAAAAGTTGTTAGTAGCACTTGGTATTAATCTTTCATTCAAAGATTTCAGATACCATTTTTCTTCATTTTATAAATGCATAAATAAAGGTAGAGATAGGTAAAGCATTTTCTTCCAAATTGTACAACCATTCAATGGACATGCTAGAACTCCTAAGTCCTCAAGCCTATGACTATACTTGGGTAAAGGTGATTGTTTCTTTCTTAGTTTGTGGACAAGCAAAACTGGGATGTACATACCTATGAGTCCATCTCCTGGGTGATGCAAAAACTGGTTTGAATTTGACCACACCTGGGTGTAGATTGCTTCACCCATGTTTGCTGACAGCAACCTGACACTGATACAGGAGACCCAGGCTTGATCTCTGAACAGTAATGCTTTCAATTTAGAAAGTAATCAGTTGCTGCTAACAAAGCTGGTTTTTATTTGTTAACAAAGTAGCACAGAGTAGTTTCAGCATGACAAAGCAAGCCATAGAAAACAGTGAAATCTGAAGCAGATTGCATGGGATGAAGAAATCCAAGGTCAGGGAGGGAAGGAAAGTACTAAAATTCATAATAGTTCAGCTGTCCAGATGAGGGACAAACAGGATTGGTCTGCAGCACAATATTCTGTTGTGTTATGTAGGAGGACAAATGTGAATAAATGAGAGCTAGATCCCCAGTCAGATTCAGCAGACTGGCCAGATACACTGTTACGGATCTTGATCTTGATTGAGAGTTGTATTAAGGTCACAGTGAGTGCAAAATTTCCTGAGAGCGATGTCCAGATGGGCAGTCTGTGGGCTATGTTCCTGTGGGTGCCCCCTTAAGGAAACACTGCCCTTCTGAGTAGCAGAGGTATGGGAGAGGTAGAAAACCTTTCTGTAGGATTTGGCAACATGCTCCAGTTATGGTGGAATTTATATATTATTTGCCAAATCAGAATTTGCATTGTCCTCAGGATGTCCCAGATCTGAAATGGAATACTCAAATAGATAGCATCAGGACAGATAAATTTCTGGGTAGGGAGGTCATTGATGTGCAAGACAAAAATCTGTAGTGCTAGAACAAAACTTTGAGGTGAACACTGAAGCTGGGGTTGCCAGGTAATAAGGACTGTTATACAGAGTGCCAGTGGTTTAAACACAGACAAAGTTCATCTCCCTGTGCTTTTCTAGGTGCTTATGAACATCAGTAAATCAGAGGCTAGCAGTCTGAATCAAGGAAAAAAATCTGGAAAGCTCAGAAATTTCATTCTATGCAAAGGTAGAACACCAGCACATCTTCTGCACTGGCATGGCTTTCTTGGAAGCTAATGGTGGCACATCACTGTGAAATCAGGAAGTGCTCTGCTTTATTTCAGAAATATTCTTATAATCAAATGGCAACATGTGGTCTTTATGTAAGCTACCTAAATCATTGCAAAAGACTCCTGAATTTCAAAGAGATGGCCGGATTGTTCTTATTAGCCCACTCTTTCAGACTGTCCAGGCCTTTCTTTAAGACAGGTTTCCCCCATCATGATTCCTCCACCTCAGCACCCAGATTGGTGTCATCAGCAGACTTGGTGAGAATGCTTTCAATCCCATCATCCAGATCATTGAGTAGCGTGGGGACCTGTATTAGCCCATGGGTGACCCCACCTGTGATAGGCTGCCAGCCTGAGTAAAAGCCATTGATCTTCACCATCTGAGTGTGGCCTATGGGTCCATTTGCCACTCATCTCTCAGACTGTCTCTCCAGTCTTTATCTTGCCAATTTGTCTAGGAGGAGACTGTGGGAAACATTGGAAAATGCTTTGCTCAAGTCCAGGTAGACAACACCCACTGATATCCCTATGTCAACAGAATGTGTTACTTTGTTGTAGAAGGTGATCGATCAGGTTAGTCAGGCATGATTTTTCATCCCTTCATCACTGATGTTCAGGCACTGTCTTCTCTCCACTGACATGGAAATGACAGGTTTGCTGAGGGAAAAGAATAAAATGAAGGGCCTGGGTTGTGTTGTGGTTGGACAAGGTATGGCATGGAGAGGGGTGGGATTTAAACTCTACTCCAGCAAGTGAAACAGCTTCTTTCAGTTCTGGAGCCTTTCAAGTATCGTGGCTACTTATTTCCCTGTTTTACAGGACAGACCTACTACCCATCAATGTTTAAGATTTTTAGTCAATTCTTTGTCTAAGTCTCTAGAATTGAATTAATAGTTGGAATTCAATCATTAATTCTGGCTTTTGATTTTATTCACAGAATGTGAAAAAGAGCCTGGGTCCTTGCTGTGGGTATTTGTGATGGTTGGAAACATAGTACGAGGAATGGGTGAAACTCCCATCATGCCTTTAGGCATTTCATATTTGGAGGACTTTGCCAAAGCAGAGAATTCACCTTTCTACCTGGGTAAATCTACCCTATTATGATAACTTTGTCCCCAGGTAAACACTCACATAAATGAAAACACAAGAAAAGGTTATTATGGATCCCTTCAGTCAATAAGGGAGGAGAGAAGAAAGACATTACAGCATTATTAAAATGATAGTACTATAAAACTTGTATTTTAACTAGAGTTGAACTTGTTAAAATGAGGCCATTTTTAGGCACAAATGTCTATTCAGTAAAGCTGTCCTAAACATAAATAGCAATTCCAAGAAAACAGTTTATCTGGGTTCTATTTTAGTTTGTTTTCTCCTTTTCATACTTTAGGATGTCTACATACAGCAACTGTAATTGGCCCCTTCCTTGGTTTCTTGTTGGCATCATTCTGTACAGAACTGTTTGTTGATCTGGGATCAGTAGATGCAGGTAATGCATGAATATTTAAAGTCTTACATACAAATCAGTAGGTGTATTTATATAAATACACCAATGATGATGTATTTATCAACACTAAAAGATGTTTCTTTGCCAATATATACGGTGTCCTAATTTTATCTGAATTTGCTGAGGTTTCTTGTAGAATGGTAAATCTGTAGGTAATATTCAGTTCTGTAAAAGGCCTGAATTCACACATACACAAATGAATCTGCACATAAATTATTTGATGAACAGTTGTGTCATCTGGTTTAACATAGGAAAGGGCTAGGATTGATTTCATATAAAACACTGATATTTGCCAGAAAATTAGCAACATCAGAAGAGAAAACTGGAGACTTCTCTCTTTCACCAGGCTCATTTTAAGAATCTTTAAAATGCTTTTAATATTTCACATGTCAGAGATTACTAGGAAAACACAATGACATGAACAAATGCTTCTGAACTAATATTAGATGTGTGAGTTTTGTTTTTTGTTGTTGGTTTTTTTTTTTTGTCTTTTTATAGAAGATGTAATTATAACAACTACGGATGCCCGCTGGGTCGGAGCGTGGTGGCTGGGCGTTTTGATTTGTGCATCAGTGAATCTTCTCTCAGGAATACCTTTTTGGTTTTTGCCTAAGTCACTTGTAAAGGAAGGAGAAACTGATGAACCTGAGGAGATGAATGAAAAAAGCGTAATACAATTGGAAGAAAATGATAAAAATGAAGCCAAACAGACCATGTATGAAATTGCTAAAGGCAGGTTATATTATATTTAATTTCTTTGTTAAATTAGTCCTTAAGTTGTGAACTGTGTCTGTGTATTTTGGCAAGTAAAGATGAGTCCAAGGTGTGAAATGCATACTCTGTTTTTCATGTCTCTGTAGTACAAAGGATTTGCACAGGGATTTAGAATGGCTTCTTGCAGAGGAGGAAATCCAATTTCATATGTCCAGGATCTTTATTCACTCCTTTCCCTCTCCTGTATTTCAGGTGTATGTAGATCTGGAGCTTTTCTTTCTTGTAGAGGATAAATACACTGAAATCTGGTTAAGAATATTACACTTCAGTGAGCTGTAGACAGGTTGAAGATACTGTTTGCTTGTACCCCATTCACTGTGCAGAAAAACAGAAAACCAGCACAGGTCTTGTGCATCTCTTGACTCCAACTTTAAAGCCATAAAAGGGAATTGACGGGTGCTTAAGTGTCTCATAAACATTTAATGGCTCTTGAACAAGGACCTAGTTGACTTACATTTATTCATGTTACTGTTGGCAACATTCACATCTGAGGTCTTTCAGACCTATGTATCAGTAGGAAGCTATTTATTTTTTTCCTTCAATTTTTTGGTGCTAGTTGGAAGTGTATGTGAATAATATATATCAAAGGCTATGATCTTCAGAGTAGTTTTGTGGTGCTGTATACTGAGCTCAGGGCCCCTTGACAGGATCCTAATTTTCAGAACTTAAGTGCCAGTTACCTCTTCATGGTCCCAAAATATCCTGAATTAAGAATCTTTTCATTTCACAGAATGGTTGAGGTTGGAAGAGAGCTCTAGATGTCACCTGGTCCAAAACCCTGCTCAAGCAGGGCCATTTGGAACCTGTTGATCAGGATGAGTTCACACAGCTTTTTAATATCCCCAAAGATTTAAAGTTGAAAATTTAAGTATTTAATAGTTAAAACTAATGTCTTCCTCAAAAAGCTCTGATTATAAACTGCATGGCATATATAAATAATACAGCCTATTTACAGTGTTTTGGGTATTTGACTTTTTTTGCAAGACTTGCATGCAGATTCTCTTCTAGTAATATTCTTGCCTGCCTCAGAAAGATCCATTTCCTTCAATGAAGCATGGTCATTGTTTTACAGGTGCTTATGTTTTTTCTGCAGTTTCTTAACAATAGCTCAGCACATTATTTAATAGACAATATCAGGCAAAGAGGAATTGTGGGGTACTTTTATGGTTCAGATCTTGACTTAGTAGACATTATGCCTGTGTAATTAGTTCCTTAGTCTGATCCAGACTTTGAGAGTATGGTGGGAATAACTGTGGTCACCTCTCTCTTCAGGCTTCTTCTGTCCCATCACAGTAGCAATAACCAGAATCAGCGGTCAGATCTCTGGGGGCAGGTTGCCACAGGTTTCTAGTGCATTTGCACCCTGGCTCCTATGTACTCCCTTTGAACACCAGATGCAGAAGGCTTTTGGTGAATGCTCCGAAAGCATGGGATGAGAGAAAAAGGAGTAGGAATGGTGGGGGAGTAGTTGCTGCTGCAAATTGCTGCAGTTGTTGCTGCAGAGAGACCTGGACAGACTGGATCGATGGGCCAAGGCCACTTGTATTGAGGTTTAACAAGGCCAAGTGTTAGGTCCTGCACTTTGGTCATAACAACCCCATGCAAAGCTACAGGCTTGTGGATGAGTGGTTGGAAAGCTCCATAGTAGAGTAGGACTTGGGAGTGTTGCTTGACAGCTCACTTAACATGAGTCAACAGTGTGCCCAGGTGGCCAAGAAGGCCAAGAGCATCCTGGCTTGTATCAGGAATAGTGTGGCCAGCTGGAGTAGAGAGATCTTGCCCTTGTACTTGGCATTGGTGAGGCATCTCGAGCACTGTGTGCAGTTCTGGGATCCTCGCTATAAGAAGGTTGTTGAGTAGCTGGACCTTGTCTAGAGGAGCTACCAAGGGGGTGAAAGGTCTGGAAAATAAGCCCTATGAGGAAAGGCTGAGGGAACTGAGATTGTTTAGGGTGAAGAAGAGGAGGCTGAGGGGAGACCTCATTGCTGTCTACAGCTACCTGAAAGGAGGTTGTAGGGAGGTGGGAGTTGGCCTCTTCTCTCAAGTGAGTAATGACAGGATGAGAGGAAATGGCCTGAAGCTGTGCCAGGGGAGGTTTAGACTGGGATCTTAGAAAGAACTTCTTTGCCAAAAGAGTGGTTGGACACTGGAACAGGCTGCCCGGGGAGGGGATGGAGGCACCATCCCAGCAAGTGTTTAAAAGATGATTCTATGATTCTATGATTTCTATGAAATCTGTATGTGAAGATGTCAGTCACTATACAGCTAAAAAAATTCAGGAAACTTTAAGGGTAAGATTACTACTGTAATTTTTTATAAGCAGCAACATGCATTAGTGTGCACACATGTGTACCTTTGCATAAAATAGACATGTAGGGGCAGGCTGCTCTAAGCACTTAATCTTTGGCCTGTTGTGTCTGGCAAAGCACAAGAACTAGCCTGATCCAGTTAAGGACCATTTCTGTTTCCTTCTCCCCACTTCAGCCTCACTAAACAATGAGTGATTAATTTCATAAAGCATCACACTAACTCGTTACATTATTTCATTCCAGATTTTATCCCGTTCCTCAAGGCTCTGTTTCACAACCCAGTTTATATGTTATTTATATTCATAACTGTGTTACAGTTCAGTGCCTTCGATGGCATGATATCCTTCATGCCCAAATATTTGGAACAGCAGTTTGGAAAATCTGCATCGGATGCCATCTTTTTAATTGGTATGTTTGCATTTTGCTTTGCTGTGTTCTACCAAGTAGTGATGTGTCTATGCAATTTATCTCTATTTATATATAGGTATATTTAAATAGTCATGTGTACATGTATACATATGCATACTAAGGTCAAATGCTTCTACAATGAGAGATTCCACACTACAGAGCATTTCTAAATAATCATGCATTTTCTGCTAAGCATCTCCTGATTTTCTGTGCAGTATTTAATAACCTACTTCCTATCTTTTCAATTGGCCCAGAAAGTTCAGCTGATGTCAAACTTGCTCTGATCTCAAAGACGATATGCTAATTTACACCAAGAGGGCATGTGTTCAATAATCTTGAATACATTATCTTGAATTCAAAGTATGCTATAAAGCAGAGGGTGGATTTCATGTTCATGAAAATGACATTGCAAGACCTCTTACGTCATAGATGGGTTCAACCCATGCACAGCTAATATTGCCAGTGATCTTCAAAACTTTCCATCATCTCTGCTCCTCAGGTACTGGTCTTGGGCCTTCTGAAAGCCTCAGTTTCTCTTTTATATGCAGAACTCCGTGGAAGGAAAGCACTGACCAAATAGCTGTCTTTTTTTGTCTCTTCTTTATCAGCTTGTCTTCTTTTGTGAGTGAGGACAAGAAGGTGTCATGCTTTTGGGAATGGTAATGGCAAGTAGCTGTAGCACAAAGCAAATATCCTGAAACGGCAGGAGCCTTTCAATTTATCATGTCTTAAATTCTCAGTTCCCTTGTTTAACTGCAGTGACTTAATTAGACTAGAGTTTATCTAATCATTACAGCAGAAACATCTTAAAATGCATGTATCCATACTTCTGTTCTTTAACTCAGTGCTCATCTTTCACAGTAGCTGCAGCACTTTTTTAAAGCCTGCCACACAGAAAGTCCTAGACCTCATGAGTACTACTGTTGCCTTCTGTTACCTGTGTTTTTTAGCTGCATCCAAAGGGATATAACTATCGTACATCTTACCTATGTTGCATTGCCACAGCATTGTTGGGTTGTTTTTCAGGCAGTTACTTCCTAAATGTCTTTGCTTCTTTAAAGTATCAAACAGCAAAAAAGCATGAGAGCACATTCCATAATCTCACATCAAAACTGAATGCCCGTTCCTCCTTTCTGTGCTGATCAGTGTGCACCAAGATGTGCTCTACTAGCTTATCTTCCTGTTGAATTACCCTCTCAGCTAGGTAGGCTGTATTGAAACTGCAAATATTTTTGTCTTACCCTCTAGCCTGCTTTTGAAACAGTTCCCAACTTCTGTTGACTTTGGCAGATGTTTTGGATGTGCAAGGGAACCAGTAGAGGTACACTTCTGATTGTAGTTAAATTATTCAGTCACGGACACCATATGAGTATTTGCCAAACAGTCTTCCCTTATGAGTATCTTTGATGGTCTCCTTCTTTATTTTAACATGGAAGTTTCACTTGTTTAAATAGGTGTTTACAACTTACCAGTTGTATGCGTTGGGTATTTTTTTGGAGGCTTATTCATGAAGAAATTCAAGATAAATATCTATCAGGCTGCGAACATAGCATTTTGGGTATCTTTACTGGAGTATCTTCTCTACTTTGCTGCCTATTGGACTGTCTGTGACACTTCACCAGTTGCTGGCCTAACAGTTTCCTATGAAGGGTATGTTCTTTAAGACACAAGAGGACTTAAATCTTAAGACACCTGAATGATTTTTCTTTTCAAGTATCAGCCAGGGACTCCATAGTTTTGCAAGATTTTAGCTTCATTATCTAAATTCTCAACACTTTTTACATGCATGAGAGAATAGGTCTATCTTCTGTTATCCCTGTTTTAAACAGTAAAACATATTTTAAAATATAATCACATCAAGACTCATGCAATTGCATGTCCATATTAATTCTTCTACTAATATAATTATTATTTCAAGTCACGCAACTGCAGGTAAAAATAATAAGTTTTTGATCAAATTAGGCATATGTGAATGCAATTTCAGAATTACAGAGGGACAAAACTAATTCTTTATCTTAAACTCATTTATTGGAATTTGATTGCTATCAAGATATCAGAGGATATTTTATCTGCAGTTTCTTGATTTGATGCCTGCCATTAATCACTGGGGGGGCTTGTGTCTCTGTAAAATGCACATGTTGGTATATGTAATGCTTACAGACAATCAAGAACATACATGACATAGATGATAAAAATGCTGTAATGTATGCAAAACTATCTATGAAATGATGATATGAACATAATGTAATGTAACATAATATCCTATGGAAGATAGCAAGGCTTGATTCCAGGATAGGAACATGTAGGATCATGTCCTGGATCAACACTCAGTTGAGTTAGAATAGAATCTTAACCATTACAAAGGGTTGCTGTAGGTATTTCATCACGGAAATATTTATTCACCTTCTAAATGTATTTCAGAATAGAGCAAGTTTCATATGCAGAAAATACTCTGCTTGCTGGCTGCAACAGAGATTGTGATTGCCCGCTTAAAATATGGGACCCTGTTTGTGGGAACAATGGAATCACATATGTTTCACCTTGTCTTGCTGGGTGTAAATCCTCAAGAGGAACTGGAAAAAATGTGGTAAAGCATACGTTTTATTGTACTGCAACCATGAAATACAGTAGGTGAAATACCAGTATCAATATGGGGTGGGAAATTTCCATATATTTAATTGGATATTTAAGGTGATAAATAGAGTTGGACAAATTCATTAAGTGGCAACAGAAATTCCAAACTGAATATGAAAATAATTTAAAGTTTAAATTAAAGAATATAATGATGAAGCCTCATTTTCTTCTAATAACTGAAGGAATCTTAAAAGCTCAAAATAGAGTGCAGAATTATTCCCAAGGTATTGCCATTTGGAAACCTGAGTGCACAGGAACATTTCAGCCAAAATTAAATTGTGCAACATGGACTTAATATCTTTTACCCTGTAGATTTGAACAAGTAACCAGGTATTAGAGGACTTTTATTATCTTAATTAGCACTACATTTTCCAATTAAAAAAAAAATTCTAATTAAACTAAAAATAGACAAAAATAATGAGTTCAGCAAAACCCTTAATCATACAGATTTTAGGAAGCCTCTGTAATTACACATATATTATAAAGAAGTATTAGATGATAATAAGGGCTGGACACTGATGCCCTTGCTCACCTTGGCTGACATTTGAAAGCCCTTATTCTGACAGTAGTCTCAGTTATTTCAATAGAAGCAAGTGTTTGAGTAAGAATATTGCAATCCAGCCTCAATCAAGCATCTCCGGTCTCTTCTGGCGTATGAAAGACCACACACTAAGCCTATGAGAAAGAGGGTCCGGTCTATTGACACTGGAAGGACCACATAACCAGGCTGCACTGGGAAATACAAGGGCTCTCCTGATCATGGCCTCCTTGAGGAAGCATAATCCCAGGTGCCTAGTAGGACCTCCTTCTTTCCAACCCCATACACTACACACAGATGTTGTCTAACCTGTGCCTGGCAGACTGGGAGAGAGGCTGCAGTGCAGTGCTGCATGTGTGTAACATTCTTAAGTGCAGGAGAAGGTGACCTAGGTGCCAATGGCCTGAGTTTCATATTCAGTGTGTGAGTTTTGACAAGTCTGTGTGATTGAAATATTCTTTTGACAGGTATTTGAAAACTGCACTTGTATTGCAGCCTCAGGGTTTTCATCTCAAAATGTCTCTGCAACTCTGGGCCAGTGTGATGGAGAAGAAAACTGTGGCAAGATCCTTCATTATTTTTTAATATTGTCTTTGGTCTGCAGCTTCATTTTTTCCTTAGCAGCCATGCCTGGGTACATGGTCTTAATAAGGTACAGTAAAATGTCCTTATCTTAAGAAACCTACTGAACTTTTTATTCTGAGGTCAAACACCCCCAGGAATTAAAAGTGTTTTAGTTTGTGTATGGAGGGAGGAAACATCTTAGGTAATTTCTGTGCTCTGTTAAGGTTTAGTTTCAGCTTTATAACCTGTTGTTGCTTCTGGCTATCAGATCTATCCTGGATTAGTGTAGGACCACTCAGTCGGGGCACTGAGGTACTGAGAAGTGTGTGATACCCATGTGTTTATTGATCACATCAACATGATGTTGATTAAATCACAATTATCTTGCACTTTGCATTAGCCTCAATCTGGGTAGATGATAGCAGGACAATAGCTTTTCCTTTTGTGATTTGGCAGTCCCAGATAAGGAACTTCAGTAAATGTTACCTAATGAGGATAATGAACTCTTTCAAACAATGCTCTAAGTAGAATGGTTTGGGCCTAACATGATGAAGAGTTTGATTAAAAAGTACAACAGAGGAAAACTGTTTTTAATTGGTGTACAATGTAATTATCATACAGGTCTCTAATTGGTGTTCAATATAATTATCATACAGGTCTCTAAAGCCTGAAGAAAAGTCATTTGGAGTGGGTATCCATGAACTAGCTTCAAGAGTGTTTGGTAAGAAAAGCTCTACCACACTTCAGAAGCATGGTTAGGTGTGATCTAGAGTTAGATAAGGATCATATAAGGGCTATGGTCATGGCACAGGATTCTACCTCTTTGGAGTGCCTTGGATCCAGAAGAATTTGGGCTTTTTTTCACAGACCCAGGCAGCATGGCAAATAAGAACAACCTTCACTTTGCAGTTATTTATACTGGGTAAAAGGCTGACTACATCTGCTGCTCATCTGAAAGCCATTTTACATTCCTTCACTCTTTTTTTTGGTGTTTGTTGAATACAATACTCACTCTCACTGATGAGAGAAAACGTTGAGTTTTGAACAGGAATCACAGTCCATACAGCAGCATGTATATAGTGGTAAACAGGCAACAGGAAAGAAAATCTTTGGCTGAGGGTAGGTGGATAAGGAAGCAGAGACAACATAAATGCAGACAATGTGGTTCAGACTGCAAGAGGACAGGACAGATAGAGTAGGTGAGAAACAATAGGTTTCATAGTATACCTGCTAATCAGAGGAAATATGCTAATCACATAAATGTTTCTAATATTCTTTTTAGCTGGAATTCCATCTCCCATTTATTTTGGAGCTTTGATAGATACCACTTGCTTGAAGTGGGGTACTATGACTTGTGGTGGAGAAGGAGCATGTAGGATGTATGACATTGTCACATACAGGTATAATAATTTCTACTTTATTTTAATTTCTCCGTCTTACTGTATTATTACATACATAGAGATAATGAAAAGAGCCATATCACTGACACTGACACATTCTCTGCTCTCATATTGATTAATCTTCTGTGAGATCTAAAAAGATCTGGGTACAAGCCTTAGAGTGGCTGGGCAACTGTTGCAAAACAATGTATACTGAATAGTTTTGCTATTTTTTCATGAATGCATGTATTTAATGAATCTCATCCTTTATTTCAGGTGGCTCTATCTTGGCCTGCCAGCGGTGTTACGTGGAGTGTCCTATATCCCAAGTGCACTAATTCTCCTTATTTTAAAGAAGAAGCTTAAATCTGAAAGTCAAGTCCCACTAAATGCACCAGTAGAAATGCAGGATAAAGAACAAGAAGCATTGAAATAGCATTTCAAAGCAGGACATATTGTGGAAAAAACTTGCAGTGTAAATTTTGGATATGCTCTTGTGAAAGATTTCATAGTCTAACTAGTGAACACTTGGACAGAGTTTAATAGAATTACACGTGGTTATATCCTAATTATATTACAGAAGTATCAGTTCATAAACAGAAATTAGAGGGAAAAAAAGTGTTTGGCACAAAAGAACGAAAAGCAGAAGTAAGAAAACTTACGTTATGCCACTTACTCAAACTTAGGTTTGAGTTGTCTGAGCACAGGACTATGAAGCAGGAACATGCTTTCAGTTCTGGTTTCATGGAGGATAATGAGAATTTTGCAACTGACTCCAGTGATGCCAGATTTCACCCTGGAATTCTCCTGTGAGTTCTGCCACAGCCTCTCTCATGGACCTGAGTTTTCAATAAATTTATTTAATTATGCTGTTAGTCCTTTTAGGCGGGGACTGTTTGATATTCTGCATAGTGTAGGTCGTCATTTATTGGAACCTGTTTTATTACATGGCCTGGATGCTGTGTTACTAGTAACAAATAAAAAAAGAAAAAAATAGATATTTTTTTTAATTGACTGTTTTCTTGATGTTTTAACATTTGGATAGTTCACGGACAAGGAAATGTTCTCAGGATTTGTTACGTCAGTTGCATTTACTCTAGAGAGGAGTAACCCACACAAGATAGAATGATACTTGTGAGTATTTTCCCTACCTTGTTGCTGTCTGCTAAATCCTATACCTTCTTATGTCTTGTCAAATTATTCTTTGCATGCTACATAACTGTAGTCATCCATATGCTCTTCCTAGTCTTTGATTTTTATTTCTCTCAGATGTGGTGTTACAATGAGTGTAACCCCCTTTGGGGTTCGCTGACAGTGAGCTGTTGCTCTGGGATGTCTTAAATATCTCATGAAAAGACCCTGCTGACAGGGTATATGTCACATAAGGTGTATCTTTAGTTGAGTATAGTGCATCCATGGTTAGCTTCTAGATTGGAAATGCCTCTCATTTGACTCCAGTGCAGAGGACTCGTAGGACTGCAGGTGGCCATGCAGTAACTTCTTGAGTCTTTTTATTACAGCTGTTGGAAGCAATAATCAAAAAAACCTTCCTGATTATTTTTCTCTACTTCATAAGGCATGAAGGCTGCTTCTGAAACTTTACCATAGACCATTGCTCCAGCAGTTGCAAGTGTCTCCTACCCATTTAATCTATATGACATAGACTTACCCCAATTTTATCCACCCGAGACCTTCTGCAGCCACCAAAAAATGGGAACTGTATTTCCCCAAAGTCGTTATGTTACTTGAGTTATATTCTGGTTTACTTTAAGTGTCTTATTAATGCCATAAATGCTTGGGATTGCCTTCTGTCCTTGTGGAATCAATGGCAAAAGATAATTTTCTTTCTACAGAACAGGAAAACAGCTCCAAAATGTAAAGTTTCTTCAAATACAGGAAGTCCTTACAGTTAATTATTTTGAAAAAATATATCACAGGCCCTTCCTCCCTTTCCATCAGATGATAGAGGTATATGATTTCCATCAGATAAACAGGTACAATGTGAGGAAGGAGAGAAGAAGAGGGACAGGGATTTGCTTGAGAATATCCAACAGAGGGCTGTGAGGATGCTTAAGGGACTGGAACACCTGCCTTACAAGGAAAGGCAGAGCACTGGAACATGTTCCCCAGAGAGGTGGTGGATTCTCCTTTCCTCCTTCCCTCGAGACTTTCAAGACTCTCCTGTATGTGTTTCTGAGTGACTTGTCCTAGATTCTGTGGTGGTCCTGCACTGGCCAGGGGCATTGTGCTCAGTGGTCTCCAGAGGTTCCTTCCAACCCCTAACATTCTGTGATTCTGTGAAGAAAAGACAAATGTGATGCAGCCTGTAATAGAGCAGAGCAGAAAGTGCAGTTCTTTATTAAGCCAGAGGTCTTCCAGAAGCTTTGTGGACATTTGAAGCACAGCTGGTTTTCAGCATTGTTCTTGCTACCATAGGACATTTACTGAAAGCCAGCATTCTTCCTTGTAGGTATAATATTCTTCCCAAGCTAGAGTTAAAAATCTTTTGCAGGCATTTAGTCACAGTTTGGTGCCAAGGCAACCTGGGAAACCTGAAAAGTTACAGTGCACCAAAGTTTCACAGCTGTAGGAAACAAAAGGGCTTTGTTAGGTAGGCAGATTTGTGCCATTGAAACGGACCAGTGCCAGAGAGTCAGGCCTAGTTAACTCACTGTGTTTTGAAATGGAAGGAAGCAGGTAGAAAGTGTCCAAGTTTTAAAGTTAGCATTTTAGTAGACACATTAGCTTTCTTTTTAATTGTTCCAATTCATCTGTTTGAGAATGTAGCAGTGAAACAGGCCACCTTCACCAGATGCTTTGAAGTCATTAACCTGCTACTCAAACTGTGTATCAACTGAAACGGTGCTGGCTAGAAAGCTGGGTGGGTGATAGCACAGCTGAGAGGCTTCTTGACACAAGCCTGAGGTGGGAACATTGCTTCCCCAGAGCAAAACCAGGAAACAGAGAGTGCAGCTCACTCCAGAGTAATCATCATAAAACCTCTATGGTATGATATGTGGTACAACAGACAGTCCTAGGTTGGGAGGTTAGAAAAATACTCTTGGGGCTATTTCTTCAAATGCAAAGCCAAACTATAGACTTGATCCTTTCAAGTTTTGAGCATGCTGACCTTGATACAGCAAAGCATTTAAACATGTGCTTGACTTAAAAATGGGTGGCCTTATTGATGTTTATTGTTTAAATAGGTGACATCAGACATTTAAATACTCAGTCCTAAACTGACACTGTCGTGGCAGCTGTTTGAATGGAGGCTGCTTGCTGTGGGTTACAGTAGGTACTCAGATGATACTCACTGTGCTAGAAAGCCTGGGCTGATCCTGGGCTGATATTTCAAGCACTGAGCCTTGCATAAGCCCTGTGGGTAGCACAAGCTAAAAATAGAAATAAAGCCAGTAGAAGTCACAGTAGGCGTAATTTTTTTTATAAAACTGTGACATATGAATATCTGAGTTGATTAAGTCCAATATAATATTAATAAAACTCAATGGGAGGTTTATTTTCTGAGTGCCTGAGATCTGCAGATGGCTTTCACAGTACTATCAACCCATGTTTCTTTGTCACTGAAGTTTCAACTCGGTAAAGGGTGTCCATGAGTGGAATTTTGATCTTTAAACCTCCCAAGAGGAAGGCCAGGTGGTGATGCCGGGATGCGGATGCTGCCAGACACTGACAAGCATACATTTGATGTTTTTCTGGCAATGTGACCAGTACAAGCATCTTGGAGATATTTTAAAGGCCATAGTACACAAACTGTGCACATGTATTTACCTAGCATTTTGTACTCAATGCATTTTGTAATGATCCCTGATGTTCCTTGTTTATTCGTTGTTGTTGTTTTGACCAATGTCAGGTGCTGAGCCACCATTTTCAAAGAAATATCACCAGAGTCTTCAGCATCTTACTGAAAAATGGCAATGCTTTGTAAAAAGCACATCTCTGAGTATGTGCAGGCTATGGGGTTTTTTTCCACTTGCATTATTTTCTCTGTATCAACTTTTAATTTAATCAGCTACCGTATTGCCAAGTCTCTCAGTATTTTGCAAGTACTTATTAAAAATTTTACATAAATCTTAAAAAAATCTGTCTTTTGTAAATTTCATTGTCTACCTGGTGCTTCTAACTTTTAATAAATGAAACCTACTATTGATGTACAATTTAAAAATTCTTATTTTACATATTGTTCAAGGTTTTTTTTAGGTATGTTTGGGTTTTTCTGTTTGTTTGTGGGGTTTTTTTGAGGGGAAATTACTCATTTGGGAGTAAAAAATGTTGCCTGGCAAGTTGATTTTAATTAGTGGGCATAAAGGAGGTGTGGTGACCAAAGCTGCATCATAATATAATTATTTGGCTGAGGGCATAAATGTCTGATTTATGATATGAATGCTGACTTTGTGATACAAGCACATTAAGTTAATGTGTGTAGCTTCTAAATACGCTAATATTACAGAAAAGTATTATTGACAGTTCAAATTCACTTTCTTTTTCAGTAATTTTGGTTACAGTGAACAATAGATTGCATCTGTATCCTTTCTATCTCAAGTTGAGTTTTAGCACATTACTCCTTCCTACAGACTCTTCTCATCCAGGTAATCCCTGTAGTACCAGGAGCTACTACCAACCTGTGGATGTGGAGAGAGGAACACCCTGAGCATACCTGAGGTGGGATTTGGCATGCAAAAAAGGCAGATCACTTTTTAGTTTATGTAAGTTTGATCATACAATAAAAACTGGATATATCCAGCAGCAAGTTCTTGGCTACTGCTGCTTTGGGTTTTTTGCATTTTTTTTTGTTGTTGTTGGTTTGTGTTTTTTTTTCAGAATTGTTGTTTGTCTTTTCCTTTCTTAATAAGGCATAAAGTGTTCCCAGTTATGCTGGTTGGGATTTTGAACTTTAATTGTTTAGGACTTTCCCTGAGAATGTGGAAAATTACTCGGTAATTGCCCCTCTTTTGCTTTGTTCGGAGAGTCAAGGGCATAGATTTCTTAAATGACAGAACACTTAAATCACAGGAAAAAAAGTAGCAGATCCCTTAGGAAGGTGAAGTCTTAGATATTGCAATGCCCAACATCCCTTTGAGAAGAGACCGTTCAGTAGCTCCATGCCAAAAATGTGATACATGCCTGTTAATTTCCAACAGAGGCACTTAGGGAATACAAACACTGTTTGTTCAGGGCAGACTTGTGTGTGACCATAGGTGGCAGCGTGCCAGAGGATTGTTATAGCCTGAGCAGTGTTTGAGGAAGGTCCTCACTTGTAGGGCAGAAAGCCCCACTACAGGTGGGAAATGATGGTGTCAAGGAAAAAGTTCATCATAGAAAGAAGTTTTGCTTTTCAAATGGCCTTGACCCTCTGTGTACGTGTAAAGGCTGTATTAGCTTTATAATGTTACCAGTTAAATGGTTCCAAAACACCCT